GCAGTTTGGAGAGGATGAAACTGAAAGATGAAGATGAGAAGCTGGGGGGGGGCAGATTTAGGGTAGGGAAGGGGCTCTGCGCAGGAGCTTCTCGTGGCCCTCCCGGGGGGTTCCTGGGCGCCATTTTACCTCACGAAGGACGGGGTCGCCTCAGGCGCCCCCGCTGCCATCTTAGGGCGCTGTGAGGGGTGCCCCCCGTGCTGGGGGGCTCCAGGACACCCCCAGCATCCAGCCCTCACCAACACCTCAGAAACCCACCCAAACTTCCAGAAATCACCCCAGTGCTCCCTGCCCACCCCTCCAGGTGTTTTTATGGCTAACACCTGTGAGTAATTGGGGTTAACGAGGGACAGCAGGGCTCGGCGGGCACCCTGAGGGGAGCCCCCACCTGAGGCGCGGCAGGAGGACGCACACCTCAGCCTGATTCTGTGGAGAAAAGGTAGGTAAATTTGTATTTTTATGCCTTTTTTGTCTCTCATGGGACAGCATGACCAGCTGTGGAGCAGCTGGGTCAGGGTTGAAGGCGGAAAACACTAAAATTGTTGGAAAGTAGGTGCTTTGGTGTTGTGTTTCCACAGGGGTGGCCCAAAAGGAGGGAGGGCCCTGGGCACGTGGGGATGTGAGGGGGCCTCAGCCTGGCAGAACTTGCCCTCATCCCTTGGCTCCTGTCCAAAGGAGCAGGCAGGACAAATAGAGAGTTTGTACTTGTCTGATCCAAAGGATATCCCACTCCAGTAGCATCGAGTTTTGTGTTGCCCAGACCTCCATCATACCACAGCAAAGGGGAATTGCGTGCTTACCATTTCCTATGTGCTGCCCCAAAATAGGGCATTATGAGGTAATGCAGTGTGAAGTTTGAGGGTGACTTTCTGAAAATGAGTGATAAAGTTTCTTTTGGTTAGTAAATGTTGAAACTGGGTCTGAGGGAGCAGAAAGGGAGGAGAAAAGGGAAAAACACGACTGTGAGCTCTTGCAGACCTGGTCACCTTGTTGCTTTGTACAATCAATGTCAGTTAATTTCATATTTGTTTTGTTTTGAAGAAATTGTCATGCACTGCTTTGTTTGTAAACTCTGTGGGAAGCGACCCTGCTGGTTTCCCACGCCCCACCTCAACCTGGAGTGCCCCTCAGCTTCCCGAGCACACACTTACCCACACACCATTTCTGGGCGCACAGTGTCCTCCCACTGTCTTCTGAGGCTGTGACAATCAGTGTCACATGCAGGCTCGTGTAGCCACAGAGTCACTCAAATGGCCTATTTCTGTCAAGTGAAGTTAATGTGAACTGCTCAGGGAGAAGTTATTCTTTTAGAAGACAAAGCTGCTGGTCTGTCTTAGCCCTCACTGCTCCTCTAGGTCCTGCATGAGATTTTAACTCCCGTCCTATCTACCATTTCTAAACTCTTCTTTTTTTTTTTTTTTTTAAACGAGTAGTTATTTGTTCTCCTCTCTCTAAGTGTGAGGTGAAAACATACATCAATTAATCTGTATTGATAGAATCATTTAGATTAGAAGAGACCCTTAAGATCAAGTGCAACTGTTAACACCACTCAGTCCACCACTGTGTCCCTCCACTTCTTTGAAATACCTGCAGGCATGGTGGCTCCACCACTTCCCCGGGCAGCTGTTCCACTGCAGACATTTTTCCTCATACCCAACTAAATCTCCATGTTATAGCACAAAGCCTCACAGCTGCTTCTCAGGGAGTTTGGAGGTCCGATTTCCCTTGCCATGATGCTGTAAGGAAATACAATGGTGACTGCACACTCTGCAGGATTTAAATTTAAAAAACAAACAAACAAACCCAAAAACCACACACACCAAAAAATAAACCAAAAACCAAAACAAACAAACCCACCAAAACCTGCATCCTTAGGCCGTGCTGTGGTGATTCCTGCTCCCTGCTTTCCCATTCACTGTGACCCTCCCTCTGCCTGCAGCAGGGCAGAGTGTTCTGGCTTTGCCAATCGCTCCAGTAGGAGAGAAAGTCTTGTCACCACTCCAGGAGCCAGCCAGGGCACTCTACATTTCTTGGTGTCACTTAGAGGAAAAGGATTATTTATAGCTCTGGGACACAGGCAGGAAGCGCTGGCAAAGGGATGCTTCCTTCCTACCCTTTCTCCTCTTTTGTGGTCTCCTTAGTGGTAACTGCCAGTGCTAAAAAGCAGGATAAGCCTAATTAATTCTTGTAGAAAGTCCAGGAGGGGTGTAACCCTTGAGAGCACTGTTTGTACCCTGAGCACAGCAGTCAGGAACACTTGGGGCCAGCCTAGCTGGCAATCAGGACTGCCAGCTTAAGGGCAAAAAAAAAATGAGATTAGCTTTATTCTTGTCAGTTCTGAGGCACTGATCTCACTTGACCAGGGCAGCCAGGAGCAGAAACACAGAGACCAGCTGTAAGCTCCCCTGTGCCCCAGCTTCATAAGGGCCTTGTACCTTTTCAGTGCTGTACAATTCACTTAGCTACCTGCAGCCAGGTAACAGGACAGAGGGGAAAACAAGACAAAAAGCATCCTCTTTTCCCCAGCTCCCCACTCCAAATACCCTGCAAAATAAAACAATCTCAAGACTTACTTGACAAGGCAAAGCATCAGCAAGACTTCCTTCATCCTTTTCCTAGTAAATACATCCCAGCCTCTAAGAACTAACCTCCTATTCCATAAATAATGCAATAGATGCAGGACAGGAATTAAAACCACCATTATCCATGCCCATCCTGCAACATGGCCAGGCTCCTGCCATCTGCCATGGGGATGCCCAGCTCTGGGCAGCTGCTGCAGTACAGATCAGGACAGTGTTGCTGACATGAAAGCAACAGCCTTGCAGCCTGTCAGCCTTTCCATGAAAAGCCTGGAATGGCTCAGATCCTCCACGCTGTGGTATTGCCCCTACCCAAGCAGCTGGCCCAACTGCTCAGCTGTTGAAGGAGTAGCAAATGCAGCCCTGCTGATGGATTAGCCAACAGGGATCACATTCCAGCGGTGGAGCAGCATTTGGCTAAGGAAGGCCTCAGCTGTGCAGGCCATGACTGAGCTGCACCAGGGCAGCACTGTCAGTCACAGAGCCAGCTCCCAGTTCTCCACAGCACACAGGACTTCTTTACCTTCCATCAGGTCCTCCAGTGCCACGTCAGTCCCAGCTCCAGCCCTCTCCTGGGTCAGCATGGTTAGCAGGATGCTGGGAAAGAGCAGTAGCAGACACACTCCAAGGCATTGCATCAGCAGAGAGGTTGTAAGCACAAGAGACTCTTCACTAAGCTTTTTTGTTCATCTGCCTAACTGCAATTATTTGTGTTTGGCACACTCAGGATTTAATACCTGTGGTAGCCTAGTTGAGTACAGCCCTTAAGCTGCACCTGGGGCTTAGCAGTCAGGCATTATAGACACTGACCCACAGGCTGCCACATGGCCTGCCACCCACTCCAGGTATGTTGGTCAGCCTGACTTCATGGTACCTGATACCGGGTCTCTGTGTCAAGACCTCAGTTTGTGAGTCAGCACACACAGCCTGATCCTCTCAGGACCTCCCTCCTAAGCTTTCTGTCAGGCTTCACCTTTCACTCCACATCTTTTTCCTGGCAAGAGCAGTCAGCCTGACCCGCCTGCTCTTTTCTGCTTCTCAGGTACGCTTGTGCCAGCCTGCAGTGAACCCAAGTGCTGAGCGTGCTCTTGGAAAGCAAAGCTATTTGCAAGAGCACAAGCCATGCCTCGTGTTCCCTGTCAGTCCCCCATTCCCAGCAAGGAGATGGGGAGCAGCTTTCCTTGGTCAGAGATAGCACAATGAACACCTCACATAGCCCTGTTTGAACCTTCCTGGCTGGACTAATCTCAGATTTTAGAAACCAGACAGGGACCACTTACTGCAGCCAACAAGGTAAAGGGAACAACTACTGCTAAGGCAGCTCTACTCACAGTCAGTCATGCTTTGCCTGGCTTCTGTCTAAATCAGTACCACCTGCCAATCCACAGTGTAAGGAGGCATGTGGTTGGATACATATCCCCTCCCTGCCCACCCCTGTAGCACACACAGGAGCAAGCAGATTAGAGCAGGAAACAGCAGAGGAAGCAGCCATTGCAAGTTTGGGTTTATTTCACTATGCATGGGGGCAGAAAACAAAACAAACCAAGCTATAGCTGTTAGCTGAACTTAATAGCTTTGACTTTGAAGTCACCCTCCACAGCCAGGTATTCAATTTTCTCCATGCCCAGCCGATTAGGGAACTTGAACTCCGCCTCAGGCAGCTTCACCGTGGCCTCAGTTTGATCGAAGGAGATGCACATCTGTAGAGAGTCACAAGGAGAAAGGTTAACACCTCCCAGTTCCCAGGCCTCTCGCACTCCCCACTACTGCAGTCTGGGTGTGGGACAGGCGAGGTGGCTGCTGGTGCAAGGCCATGCTCATGAGCTCAGCACAGGCACGGAGGGCAGGAAGGGGGTTTACTCTGCCCCAAGGTTAGATCCAAGTTTCTGCAGCTCCAGGATAAGACAGATCCAGTCTCAGGGCAGGGTTTTAACTGCTCTGAGTTGTGTGGCTTGCACAGGAAGGCCAGACTGGGGCACTTAACACATCTGAGCTGTGGGGCATTGACTTGACAGCTCATTGGCTTTAGCTGCAAGAATCTTCCCCTGCTGCTGATTCCCTTTCCATGCCTGCTCCTTCTGCTCCACAGAGACACAGGCAGCATTAAAGAGCTGTGCTCTCGGCCCTTCAGTGCTCAGTACCAGAGCCTTGTGTACCCTGGGGCCTCACCTCGATCTTGTCACCATGCTGGAAGGGAAAGTCAGCTTTCCTGTCCTCCTCACCCCACGTGCCATCCTGCTTGGAATTGCACACGATGGTGTTGATGTCCCCATGGCAGTCGAAGCGAGGGTTGAAATGCAGCATGAGGGTGTTGCTGTCCTTCCCAACATTCACAGCAAACCTGGGGAAACAGTCAGTGCCAAGGAGGTGCCTGTGCAGCAGGTCCAGCTACCCACTGCTGGCAAGCTGAACACAGCAGGAGCTCTGGCTTCCCTCAGTACCACATCAGTTCATTCACCAGGATCCTCCTCACTCACCCTTTGGCATCAGACTTGATCTTCCCTTTGACCTTGATGCACTCACCAGGCTCGATGTCCAGCTGAGTAACAACCAGTCCCTGCAGGGCCAAACCACAGGGGTTAGTCTGTCCCAGGGCAAGGCTTCCAGTCCTGCTTGGGCCAGGGCACAAAGCAGCTCTAGCAGACCCAGACACGAGTCCTGTGCTAGAGGAAGGGTTCAGTCAGGCCAGCTGCTTGTCCCTGCTGCCGCAGGGATCTCCCACTCCCCTAAGCTGACACAGAGCTGTGGTGGGTTGAGCCTGGCTACATGCCAGGTACCCACCAAAGCCCTTCTATCATGCCCCTCCACAACAAAAGCTTCAGGAGTTAAAATAAGGACAGGGAGAGGTCACTCATTGATTACTGTCACAGGCAAAACGGATTTGACTTGCAGAAATTAACTGAATTTATTACCAATCAAAATCAGAGCAGGATAATAACAAGTAAAACAAACCTTAAGAACACATACCCCCCACTCTTCCCTCCCTTTCCAAGCTCTACCTCCTCTCCCTGCCAGAGGCACAGGGAAATAGGGAACAGGGCTTACAGTCAGTTCACCATAAGTTGTTTTCTGTCACTGCTCAGGGAGATAAGTCCTTCCCCTCCCACAAGCAGCAGTTCTCCACGAGCTTTTCCAACGTGAGTCCTTCCCATAGACTACGGTTCTTCACCAACTGCTCCATTCCACTGGTTTACAGTCTTCTTTCAGGAATCCCCCTGCTCCAGTTTGGCCTCCTCTACCGGCTCCAGGTGGATCTCTGCTCCCCCATAGACCTCCATGGGCTGCAAGGCACAGTTGCCTTACCATGGTCTTCAGTGCAGACTGCAAGGGAACCTCAGCTCTGACTCCTGGAGCACCTCTCCCCTTCCTTCTTCACTGACCCGGGTGTCTGCAGGGCTATTCCTCTCATATTCTCACTCCTCTCTTCTCAGAGTGCAACTCCTTCTGCACAATAGCTTCTGTTCCTTCTGAAGTGTGTTATCGTGGAGGCATCACTGCTGCCTCCGATGGGCTCAGCCTTGGCCAGGGGTAGGTCCGTCCTGGAGCCAGCTGGCATTGGCTCTGCTGGCCATGGGGAAAGCTTCTGGAAGCTGCTCACAGGAGCCACCCCTGTAGCCCCCCCACTACCCAAACGTAGCCATGCAAACCCAAGGCAGGAGGGGATTCAAGAGCAGGGTACAGGCACTGCTTTACCAGCTGCTACAGGAGCAATGTTGCTGAGTTCTACTTACCCACGTCAGCTCTGGCAGGGACACCAACTGCAAACTAGTTGACTTGGGCACTACCACCCAGCCCCCGCTGTCCTTCCCCTCCTGCTGCTCCCTGCTGTGCCCACGCCCGGACTGCCGAGGTCAGGTTCCCCCGAGGCACTAAACCAATTATCTCCCCAGCACTAACTCTGCCTTCTGGCTCCGCTTCTAAGGCAGCGCTGGAACTCAGCGCCCAGGGGGTCTTTCAAGTAAAGCAAAGGGGGGGCAGAGCAGGGTGGGTTAGAATACACTGCCAGCCTGCTTTCCGCCCAGCCCTGTACCCAAAAGACATTTTGCCAGAAGGAAAATACAAAGTTTAAGGAGAAAAGAAAGAAAAAGCATAAAGGATATTCAAACTATAGAGTTACAAATGGACCCAATTCTTTAGATTACTCGAGGATATAAACATTCCTCAGCTTTCCCACTTTTAACACGCTAGAGGAGGAGAGGAAAACCGGCT